CAAACACATAAGTTCAGGGGAAAAAAAACTTTCCCCTAAAAATATTTGAAACATCTTTTATCGGTTATTCCTCTTACCACGTCCTCTCTGCTTCTTTTCTTTCTGTTCGCTGAGTTTGTCCAAAGGCAAGTTGGCCATGTCTAAGCAATACACAGAGCGTGCCAGCACAGCCGTCAGTGAGTCCATGATGCTGGCCCACTCTGTCACCAGCTCTTCCCAGCAGGTAAGAGAGGAAAGTACTGCCAGCAGCTCGTCCCAAAGCTCCCGAGAGATGAATACACAGAGGTTTGCTCGTACCCATGCCACAATAATAGTCTGAATGCAGGAAGAAGAAAAATAAACTGACTTAGACAAACATAGGGCAAAAACAAACAAATGTGATAGCATTAATCTTGTTTTACTACAACAAAACAAATCTCATTACTTTACATAATAATTAATAGGACAGGTACAGCAAATTATTGAAAAAAAATCAACTAATTTTTAAGGACTATCCCAACATTTATCATGTAACCTGTTTTAGTAGTACATTTTTAAATATTAAAGTTTTAAATTTTTTATGTAATTGAGCAATTCATGTTCTTACTATTTATTTCTCCCTTATAAATTCCTATATTTTACCCCACGCTACTTATAGATCATCTAAAGTGAAAAAGTAAACACAGTCATACCCTAAAAAGTAAGGATGCTAAACTTTCAGCAAAACTGTCTTTTCTTTGGTTTTCATGTGGCCTCTTCATCACAGCCTCTGTGATCCTCAGTAGTACTTGTAGCATCTGTTCCCTGGAAAACAAACAACATACAAACAAAACAGTGTTGAAAAAAAGACAACAAAACTAAAAACGATTGTGAAAAAAATCTGAATAAATTTGGCTATCCTAAAGGAATAAATGAGAACTGAAAGAAACATGAAATGTGTGTTTATTTAAACGTTTTACTGACCATGTCTGCATACTCATGCTGTGCTCCATGATCATGTGTCGGTAGATGCTGAGAACATTCTTGCACACCTCAACTTGGTTTTCCAGTAGTTTAGGTACATCATGGCATGGCTCCAACAGGAACACATTTGACGAGTTGGTCAGGAACACCTACACAAATAAATTAAGTAAGAGGGAGCCAACTATAACCAGTCAAAATCAGAGGTTTACAGCAACTAAATACATTTACTTCGTTACAGTACTTAAGTAATTTTTTTGAGGAATTCTAATTTTACCAATTGTTTTTTTAAATAGCTACTTTTACTTTTATTTTGTTACATTTTAAAGCTAAAAATGATACTTTTACTTATTTACTTTAAAATGTAACACCTAGTTACTCATTACAAAATTAAATATGTTGGAACTTATCATGAAAGAAGATGTTTATGTACTCTAAATAAATGAAGTGTTGTATTTACTCAACAAAGTCATGTCAATTGGCTCCACTAAGCCTAGTCGGGTAAATAGAGCAAAGAATATACATATATTGCTCATTTTACTCAATCTGGCTTAGAGGAACCAGTTTGGTTCAGTAAATTCAACAGTTTATTTTTTAGAGAGTGTGTAAAACTACTTTTACTTTCCCAATTTTTGTGACTGACTTTTACTTGAGTAGTTTTCTCATCAGTGAAATTTATTTTTTACCAAAGTTGTTTTCTGTTCGTGTAATTTTACTTAGTTTTTTTTCAAGTACTTTATAGACC